GCTCTCCATCGTAGTTCTTCAGGCAAATGATGCCTAGAGGTCATTATTACGAATTGGCTATCTCAGATTTTCAATGTCGCAATCACAGTAAAATTTGTGTGCTTTCTCTCAAACTTGGACTTTTATGCTCCAGGCAGATGACGTAAGCCGAGTGCAGCGCCACTAATTTGCATATTGCAATTTTACTCAGCTACTCTTAGTGGACAACATATGCAAATTTTGCACGGTTTGGCTTACTTTTGAAAGAGTTATCGCTATTTTTGTGATTTTTCCTTAATTTATGATAACCAGTGTATACAACGTAACCTTTGCATGTTTATTAAATGATAAAAAAGCTCGAAGAAGGTGCCTTTTTGAAATAGTTTTACTAATGTGGCATTTATGACTTTAAAGTAATTAATAACGATGTGTACGTATTTATTTCTGCAAACGTTTGACGCATAATAAAATGTCTGAAAAGTTTTGAGTCTTTTAAAGAACACATGAATGTTGTGGTGAATGCCATTAGGAGTTAGAATAAAAGTAAAAGGCAACAAAAATTAAGTAGTTTCGGACCATCAATCATCGAAATGTCATCACATAAGTTTTGAAAAATAGTTTCATAGATGTTTTTTATATTTTTTATATTTTTTATAATCCTTTCAACTATTGTATAGAGGTCACAAATAAATCTTAATAATATTAAGCACCACTGTTTTCCTGACTTACACTAACTAGTTTGGAGACATCGAAAGATATAGATTGACAAATGAGAACACTTCAAAGGCAAATTGTTAAAATAATTTACTAGGACGACAGATGAACGTTTATCCTTATACGCCGTGCAAAATTTTAACATGTGGATTTGTATTTTTTTTCCAATTCTCATTCGGAGTATGACCTTTCGTCATACTCCGGATTTGATTTTTGGCTATTTTTTCAGGGGCTCCATATTAGGTGGTTCAACGTTGCTCCTACGGTAAGGACAGATAGTAAAGAGAATGAACGAACATCCATGCCTTGCCTGGGATTCACACCCAGAACCTTTCTGATGCAAGGCCAGTTACCAGACCCCTACACAGAACAGGTGTCAGATTTGTATAATAGTAGAGTTTGATCGAAAAAGTGCTAGAATCATTTTAACTTATATACTATGGGGCTATGTCTACGCTGATAAAGTGTTTCAATTCTTTTAGCATTTTTCCAGTCCCAGTTGTTAAATTTTTAAAAAAAAATTTCCAGTATATTTTTTTTACTACCAGAAAAAATTATTGATGACTTATAATTTATATCAAGAGAGTAAATAGGTATAGTGAAACTATGTTTTCTTTCATCAAACACTTCAAATAAAGTTATTTTTTAAATTTAGTTTAACTAATTGAAATTCAGGAACGTAGATGTGATATTTTATAATCAAAATTCATAAAGATGATGTCAATTAAATTCAGCCTAAATAAGTAGTTTTTATTTATTTGTGAATCACTCTCCAACCATAAAAATTCAACCTTTTATTCCTCCAGCATTGGTGGTCCGTATACAGTTCCAGATCTTGTCTCTCGATTTTCTCTCAATAAAAGGAAGCTTTGAGGGAAAAGTCTACGAATTTCATACCTGAAATAATAAAGATATAAGAGCAATGAAATTTGACTTAACATATAATTAGAAGTTGCCATATCAAGTACTTAAAACTCATCGAATCAAAAAAGGTTAAGACTGAAGTAACTTGTATCTGAATTCTAGATTATCTTAAATTTAGAACGTAGGTTATTAAAATATACTCGCAGTACTTCAAAAATGACAATGTTTTGTACAAATCTGAAGTAGCTTGTATCTGAATTCTATATTATCTTAAATTTAGAACGTAGGTTATTAAAATATGTTCGCAGTACTTCAAAAATGATTATCTTTTGTACAAAGTTTTAATCAAGTTAAAAGTATAGTTTTACAAGGTAAAAGTATATATATTTGATGGGAGAACAACAGTTTCTAATACATCGGATACATCTTTATCCTTGGTGAAAAGTTTTCCCTATCCTACTAATTAAAAGAATAAACTATGACAGTTATTGCTCCATTATTCTTTCCCTTCTGGTCTGTAAGTATTCAAAGGATTTGGAAACAATATTAACCTGGAATGTATCGAATATTTTATGGAGAACCCATTGTCTCAGAAATGGTCAATTCTTGGTAAAGTATTGGTCAATAATTAGTAACTTAAGCTAAGTATATTGTGGCTAAAGATATATTTGAGGCTACACTGAATTAATTAATGACATGCTACAAAAAACAAAAAACGAATGTTCGAAGTAAATTCTGAAAAAGATAACAGTCAGATTTTATGTGCTTTTTTCAAGAATATGTAATGATAAAAGGAATCTACTGAGGAAACCTTCTTAATACGAGATACTTATAGTGTTTGCGACGTTCAAAAAAAAATTTCAAATAAGCCTAATTAATCACCTTTAATCACCTTTTTCCACTGTCTTTCGGAATATTTTTATGAGTGTGCTATATAGTTTCTGTACAGGAAAAACTCCCTTTGCTACAAAGTCTAATGCTGCCTCCTGCTATTTATGGTTGATTAAATGCATTGTTTGTCTATAGTAAGAACTCCCCTAACCATTCGCCTGGACCCATGGTGGTGACTATAGTAAAAAAGTATAACTATTTCAAGTAGGAGTATGGGGTCATTTTGCTTAGGGCAAGTTTTGGCTCGTGTCGGCGAGAAAAAAGGAGTATTTTGCTCCGGTCTATTGTGTTAGCCCTAGAGTGAAGAGAAGCTACTCTTCCTGAAGTGAGCTATTCCTGTTTTCATCGCAGTAGACGGTCTCTGACTTTGAGGCGGGGGGAGTTCGTAAGCCTAAAACAAATTTAGCAAAATTAGTACCTCAGCATTATAAAAAGTGCAAGGCTAGCCATGTTTTGAGTCTTACCTCTTATTTGGCTATATTTGTGTGAAATAGCACAGTTTCTTATTTTTATTCATTTATTTACTTTATTTTTTAGTAAGCTTGCTGTGCTTTCCGAATTCTTTTGTTGTTTGTTTCGTTGAAAGTGATATGAAAAGAACGCGTTATACTGAAACACTACAGGTATAATAATATTGGATCGCGCATTTCTTCAAGCTTAAGCGGAAAAATCAGTCTGAAGTAGTCACCCGGGCATCCAACGGCAAATTTTAACTTCTAGGCAGACCTCTAAATTTTTAACTTCTAAATTTTAACCTCTATCTGCAGTTAGCTTTACATGGTCAACCAACCATGGAGAGCTGTGATGCCTCTTGGGATAGAGCGTGCTCCTTCCAATGATGTGAACCGAGTTCGAATAACAGCGAAGGCAGGTTGATACGAATTCCACATCCGGCTTGCAACGACCACAGTGTTGACGTAAAATATCCTCAGTGGTAGACGGATCATGGGTTAGAGTCCACTTACCGTCAGGATAAATGTGGAATGTTTTCGTGTTTTCCTCTCCCCGCAACGCAAATGTGGGTTAGTTCAATCGGTCCTCCACGAAGGCAAATTTCTCTCAATACTTGATCCAGGAGTTCACTTGTCTTTTGGTTTGGGTTCAAGATTACAAGGCTACGGAGTTGAACGTTAGTAGTCGTAAGCCCAAAAAATTGGGTAGACTGTTCAATGATGGTTATGAAATAAAACAAAATAAAATCATCCATGGAAACAAGAAATATCACATTTGAAAGAGGGGAGCTTTTCGCTTCCCTGATTTTCTTCCTCCCACCAACACGAGCCAAAGCCCGTCTTGGATGTTGACCCATTACCCCAACATGAAATAAATAAATTTTGTAACCATAGTCATCGCCACTGCACCAGGCGAATGGAGGGGGAAATTCCTACCATAGACTGACTATATGTTATTTCCAAAGTAGCATAGATGCCATACTGTTGCAAAGAATAGACAATATTGTTAGTGTATGTAACATAGATTAAAATCATCAGTTACTCAATAAAAAATCAGTTATTAAGTAATATATAACTTTGACGTGAGCGATATTTTAGGACACGTGATTTAATACCAATAATATAATTTTTATTACATCATATGTACATTTAATTGATATAACAACCAATATAAATTATTTATTAATTTAATCTACAGTTGCTTTAATATTTTTTTCCGAGTACAAATTATATATTCTGTTGTGCATTGATTTAGAAATCATACATGGATTGTAATAAAGTACTTTTATTTCAAAACTAATGTTAATTAGCCGTGAATCATTATAGTTGTTTTACAAAACATTTTTCATTTTTCAAAGGACTGAAGAATTGATCTCAATCCATGGAAAGCTAGTATCTATTTTTAAAAAAATCGTCATTTGTTTCACGAGATATTGTATTTAACTATAGACTAAAGTCAACTATAAAAATTCAAAAATGAATAAAATAATACGTAACATAACAAAACCGCTGTATTAATTTACATCTTCCCACTCGTACCCTTCAAAATTATGAGGTGATCTTCCGTCTCGTATTTTTCGTGGCCTTTATATTTCCGGGCAAGAGCGTTCCATAGTAATACACCAAAAATGTTTAAATCAATCCATATCTTGTGGCCCGGAATATTTTTGTTTCTTATTTTACACACTAGATGGCTGCACCGGAATATTTTCAATGTAACTGGAGATAATTATTTTAAACTTGAAGCCAGCACTAATCAGTATGATATGTATTTCGTACTCTTAGCTTAGCTACTTATGATCTTTGTGAATATACAGGGTTTGTGTTCTGTCATGAAATATTTTTATTTTTAAATTTTTTTTTAATATTGTGAGCATTATGGAGTCGGAGTTACTTGAAAATAAGGAGAACACATAGAATTTAAAATTTCAAGCTAAAAAATTCCAAAAATCAAAAACGAATCCATATCTTTTTTATGTATAATAATATACTTGAATAAAAAATATAGACACTTCCGTGACTTTTTTCTTGAAAATAAAAAGATTCTTGAGGGGTAAATATAAATACATAGTTATTTTAGTTTGATTTAACCTAAGTTAAATAGTATGTGCAAGCTAATTATACAAAATAACAGTTACATATTTCCTAAAATACAGATTTTTTATGAAAAATAACAATTATAAGTTCAACTATATGCTACTTTAAGAGCATAATCACAGTCATGGTACTAAAGTACTCTCAAACTAATCAACAGTAATTCTCCATGACTTAAAGTGGCAGTATAACTAAGAGTAATTAAAGTCAGGTTATTGAATAATGATAAGCTGATTTCAGAAATTTTTCGATAGTTTACCCTCAGAACTGTAAAAATCAAAATTAAACAACTGACAGACAGAAAAGTGCATTTCATCTCATTCTTTTAAATCGCTAACTGATTTGCTCTTTTATTTCAGGAAAAATCATTAAGACCCAAATACTAAAGCCACTCAAAATCCACTTAGGTATTATAGATCAAATCTTCAGTCGTCATTGATTTTTCTTCTCGGCTTCGAAGAAACTTTCCTAGGGCAATTTAGAAGACCAAATCTTAAAGATCACCTGTTTTACTTTCGAGGATTTAAGGATGTAGCCAAGCGCAGGGGATAACATGTCACAAATAATTGATTTCCTTTAGCTCTGAACAGCCCTTAAAAGACGACATTCGAGAGGCTAGGTTCTTTCTGCGCTGGCGGCCATCATGTTTGAGGCAGGAGGAACGCCTGATGCAACTATCTTCTTCTTCTTTCTTTTAGATTAAAGATTCTTATCTCTCGAAGTTCAAGCACATTTCCTATCTGGCGAATGTGCTTATGAATTTAGTTGAACTTCAAGAAATGTTATCATTCCGAAAAAGGTATCGATTTCTTGCGGGAATGAGAGTGTCTTTATTTTTCTTCTTGGTTCCAGGTGTTTCTGAAGGATGTTGCTGAGAATTAAGCAATGTTCGACATGTCGCCCGGATTTATGAATCACAATTTTTTTTTCTAACTTAAATAAGATTGTGTTACCAACCAAGGGAGCACCAGGTTGATCAACAAGGGTTAGGTCTCATTTTAATTAATTTCGATGATTTATATATATTTTTTTAACAAAATAAACAAGTGATAAATATACCATTTTAAATTATAAATTTCTCTATTGGAATGCAGCTGTTATTAATTATTCCAAAAATACGAGTATTTCGCAATACTTTAAAAAGTTTCCAAGCTTTTTCAGCCAAATATTATCATGCAATGTTGTAAGTGCAGTACTGCTAAACATTTTACAATAAATTATACGGGGGAAATAAGTCTGGATAAGACTCAATAGAATGGCGTAGTAGCTTTCTCCTCATCCAATGTGATGTAAGAGCAGGTTTTTGAGGATCTGCTGCGTGATAGGGTGCCCAAGACATAGATTTTATTTTATAACCGTCGTTGAACAGAAGACTCAATATTTTGGGTTACGATTACCAATGTTCAACTCTGTAGCCTTGTAATTTTGAACCCGATCCTGTAGACAAGGGAACTCCTCAAGGATTTTCCAACAAGGGAAATTTTCCTTCGTTAATCAGGATATAGATTGTCCTCTTCAGGGGCAGCACTCTTTGTTTCGAATCTCCGTTACGGCTGGAACTGCTCTAATTTCGTTTCGAAAGTAAATTTTAATTCTCAAAATTTACTTTAATGTAAAAATTACAGGAACTCCAATTGAAACACGAATTATCTTAAGTTCCCAGGTTCTTTCTATAGCAGAGTCAAAATTGTTTATTAAATATTTAAAACTGAATACATGAAACATAAGTTTTGGTCTTCTGAATGATAAAAACTAGAGGATAAACACTTATTTTAAAAAAGGCGCTATTTTAAAAGAACAGATTCTCGCGAATAATACCGGATGTTGTCTATAATAGTATCATTGATTGTCTGAAAAGTAATAAAATAAATGATAGGAAAATAGAGGATTTTACCATTAAGAGCATTGGTGTCCATGCTGCATTTCCTAACCATACATTATTAATGTGTTAAATACAATACTTTCCACTTATTTTGACCTAAGTTAATACAAAATAAGGAAAAAAGTATGAAAAGTATGTTTAATAAAAATTCTGCGTCAAAGGGTTCATATTAATTTTGATATATATGTACTTAGCTTAAAGAAGCTAAGCATGCAACATTTCTTTGGCTTACCTTAACCCAGTTCCTTCTCTTCTTTCATCTCTTTCTTCAGTTTCAAACTGCGATTCACGTTGCCTGGTGGATTCAAGTTGCACTCCGATTTCCTCGACTGGTTCAAAACCACTTATTTCATCTGGCACACTCTCAGGTGTACTTTCCCTGCTATCCTCTAACGGAATAACCTCTGATATATCCAAATCATAGACTCCATGGCTTATACTTGTATCATGCTGCTGCTGGTCTGATCGCAATACTTCAGTACTCCCATAATCATCTTCTGATGATCTATGTAAGCTTGGTTCACTATCAGATGGTGTTCTACTAGTTTCCGTGTCTAATCTATGATGTAATACAGCTCGTAAATAAGTCACTAATTCTTTTGGGAAAAGCATTTTTATATTATTGAAGTCAAATGTGGTCTTTGGCAGAAATAGTGTCATATATGATTTTTGAGATCTGAAATGATGTATGCTTAATAAGTTCAAAGTTGCAACAATTGAGAGGGCGATGATTGGGTAAAATGGCGAGCAAGTGAAAAAATATATGAGGATTAGAAATGTACTCCACAAAACTTTAGAAATCAGAAGCCATAGGAGGATCTGGAAAATCAAAATGATTATTAGTTTAATCAAATTTTTAAAAGGTTTTTGTAAAAAACAATTTTGCTACTCATCCGTTAGCTGGGTATCAGACAAAATTTTCTACGCAAAAATTGGTCTATAACTTTTTAAAGCATAAAGAAGGTAGTTTCATCCAAACTTGCCATTTGCCATGATCCTGTTAGCAACTGTGGACAAAAGGTGAATCTTTTAAAGAGAAGTTTATTTTCTGAAAAGCAACATGTTTATTAAAACACTAAGATTCACTGTACAATTTTGTTACGAAGAGACCAGCATTGATTTTTTTAAAAAAAAAAGATCGAAATTTTAACAAAGAGAATTCGTGCTCATTGTTCTGCTTGTCATGTTATTCACTGTTTAACACTCTACAGCTTTTTGTATTACAGACACATAAGTGACGTATTGCTAAAACGTTAATGACGAAGCTTAACGAATTTCACCACATTTTGAAAGAAGCACAGCTAATCGACATGTACTAAAAACTTACACAATACAAATCCATTAATCAATAAATTTCAAAATAAATCTGGCTTATAATTCTGGTGAAAAACTATAATCTAAAATTTAACTATTAATTTGATTAACATCACATTTAAAATTTTGATAAAAAATTGAGTCATTGCTTAAATCCTGCAGCAGCCGTTAATTGAGCGCGTTGCAATATCGAAAGAGCCAACTCTCAAACAAGGAAATGTGCACTTTAAACTAAACCAAAGTTAGAACTTAAATGAAGACCGGTCAGTTAGTATCATAAATATAGTCTGTATTGACTATATTTTGGTCCTAAGATACCCCCAGTCGTAGACATACCATTCGTTTGAGTCATTAGGGTTAGAGTCTCATGGCCTGTTGCAGAACCGTAGTAGCCAAAAGTGACTTCCTATGCCAATAAAGGTTAGTAGATTTTGATATCATTGAAGAAATTCCTCCTCAAATATAGATTTATCACGCAATTTAACTTAACTCACTTTCATAACCAGAGTAACGAATAATTTATTCTACTATACTAATCCTATTCATAAAACAAAGTTGACAAATTGAATGACTCCAAAACTTTTGTGTGTTATAATTGTCAATACACTGTAAAAAATTCCGCATAAAAATACTGAATAATGTAACAACACTTTGAATGCATCATTCTTGAAATATAATTCTACAATTTTCTCATAGAACAATTCAGTGCTTTTAGGGTAGTTTCTGCTGTGAAATGTACAGAATATCAGCTCCTTTTTTGTTTCGTAAGACGTTCGGATTCAAAAGGTAAAGAATTCCGACAACTCGAGTGCCGGTAGCTTTTATCGCAATTTGATCAATTATTTTATGCAGTGTAATATTATTTGGAAGTACTCTCATTACTGTTCAAGATAAGGTGCCTCCAATAAAAATTACCAGCAGATTAAGAGTATTAAATTTAGAGATTAATCAATTGCTATTAAAAGCGTATCTGGGCCATTTTCAGAGGAATAGAAAAGCATTTAAAAAAAAATTCTAAAAAAGGTATTTAATCTATTTCTTATAAAAATTTTAGCTGCGTAAGGAGCGCTTCGTTGCCATAAAATTTTTGATTTTAATCATAATTATAAAAATAAAATATTAACTTATGTTCTCTATGGTTACCGATGTCCACTAGTGTTCAAATAAAAAAAAGTTAATTGATAGAACTTACACTGAAGTCAAATTTACAGTATAAATTTATATAATTTTTTTCAACTAACAGGTTTTCAATAGCTGTTGAATAAGATGATTAAAAGGTTGTGCTGAAATTTAGCTGTATCACAGGAATTATTTTAAAAATACTAAATTCTATATATTACACATTTATAAGCTAACTTCTTCATTTTAAAATGCTATTTAGAATTTTTTTAGAATATAAAAGTACTTAAAATCATTAAACATCAAAATAGAAAGTTCTTTGAAATGGCCCTTCTAAAATTATTCTAAACATTTACAACCATGGAAATTTACTAGAAAATATGGTACATTAAGTGACTACAGCGTCTTTTGTCTCGTTGTAACATCTTTTAGAAAGGAATTTGATACAAACGTTATACTGATTTGTTTTCATCTCTCGCAAAAATTTATAAAAATTCATAAAATATTTATTAAAAAATATATTTTTCAGAGTGTGATTAACATTCAAGTTACAGAACCCTTCGAAGGCAAAATTACGAAATTTTTAATTTAGTTCAGATTTATGCAATAAAACAGGGTATGAATACAATTAAAAATATGAAAAAAATACTTAGAAAATATATGGGGGAAAATGATAAAAAAAAGTCTAAAATTGAACTTTGTTAAAAAAAATTATATAGCTTTGTTGAAATTTAGAATTTTTTCATTATTTTTGTCTTATAATACTCATAAATACTCAACTTCGAGAATAAACTAAGAATTAGACACATTGTTAATGTTGAGATGTTTTACTCCGTATATCGAAATTGACTAGGCAAATTAAAGGAAAAATACAACTAGTCAATTTTATTCTAGCTGTAAAATATTTAGTAAGGCTTAACTCAACTAGATATATGCATAAAAACATTCATGCAAAATTATCAAATAATTTCAACTAAAATATTTTGAGATATTGCATTCGAAATGAAGAAAATAACTAAGAATTTAGTGTTGAGAAAAATGACAAGAAATTCACAATTATCAATGTAATAACCAAGGTAAATTTTTCCTTTGTTCAGTTTGAGTTGAAAGAAAATTCAAAAGGTTTTAAAAGGAGGAAATTACTCAGTATTATTTTAAATTCAAAAAATGGTATTTTAGACAAAACCAGCATACGAAAGATAGAGTGGTAATACAAATAAGTCAAATTTTTACAAATATAATATTTATTTAAAACTAACATTTCCATTTCTGATTGTTTCTTTATTTGAAATTGGTTTCATAGGAGATGTCAATAAATCTGTAAGCTGTTTTTTTTTCTACAAATTATAACAAATCTAAGAGAAAAATATAAGCACGAAAAATAAAATAAAAAATTAAAAAAATAAGAGAGAGAAATGAAAGAAAGAAAAAAAAGAAAGAAAAAAGAAGTACGTACCACTATCCAGAATACACTATAGAAACTGATGTTATAGTTAAAAGCATCTTTTACTTTTCTTATAAAAATCGAGATAAACCAAGTTGTAAATAACACATAGCAGATAAAATAACTTAACCAGTTAAGAAATACACTCAATTCTAAATTTTTTTTTATTATCACTAGCATCCATGGAGAAGGCAGATCAATTTCAAATAAAACTTTGTATAATTCAAACAACATTTTTAAATATAAATTCATAATTACGCAAAAGCTTTTATTTCTTTTAATTCACAGAAGTTAAAAATTTATCGTTGCTTGCAATGTTTACTATTTTATTGATAGGCATTAAACTATTCCATACCTAAAAAACTGTAGAACTCCTTTACTGCATTGTTACGTGCGATTTAGTAGATATTGTTACGTATATATTAAACAATAAAGTTAATTTTTCAATAATTGTTGTTTAACAATAATTTCGGAAAGCTAGTTAAAGTTGCTGGGAAAAGTATTAAAGTATTTATAGATTCTGCTTTGAGAATTAGTCACTTTTATAAAAACACCTTGTTGTAATGTTTTAAAAACAAAGTTATCATGTTGTAATGCAAACTTTTAAAAGTACTTTAAACGCAACGTTGATAGGATTAGGATTTTTAAACTTCGCAAAATGTCGTATTTTTATAAGTTAAATATCTAAAAAGGGAGAAATCTGCAGTAAACTGATTAAACGAGGAATTTTTGAAAGTTGAATTGTTTTGCCATAAATTTACTTAAAATATTTTTCTTCATTTTTTTCGTAAAATAACGATTAATAACTCTAACGCAATTAATACAATACTTTTAATGCTTATAAAACTATGCTTAGAAATTTGTTTAATCAGTATGGAAAATATTGTAATCTGAAACAAATTTACAAATTATAAAGAATAATATTTTTGGTCTAAACACACGGAGAAAAAAATTTGGTAAAATTGCCATAATTAATAGTAATATTTAAAAAAATTATAATTCTGGGTACCGAAAATTAAGTTTTTTTTCTACAATTATAGTTCTTATTAGCATACAATGTAACATGTATCCACGGTTAGTCTGACGGAAAGGGAACTTTAACCCATGATCCGTCTACCACTGAGGATATTTTACGTCAGCACTGTGGCCTGTGCAAGTCGGGTACAGGATTCATATATACCAGTCAGCACTGGGATTCAAACCTGGTTCTCCTTATTAGAAGATGAACGCTCTATCCCTTAAGCCACCGCAGTTCTTAGAGAGGTATATTATTTCAATTTAAAACCGTCATTGAACAGCTGACTCAATTTTATGGGTTTACGACTACTAATGTTCAACTCCGTAGCCTTGTAATTTTGAACCCAATCCAGAAGACAAGGGAACTCCTGGATCGAGAATTGGGAGAAATTTTGCCTTCGTGGAGGACTTTTTGATGGAACTAACCCGCATTTGCGTTACATGGAGAGGAAGACCACGAGAACCTCCCACGGTTAGCTTTGCAGCAAGGGGACTCTAACCCATGATCTGTCTACCACTGAGGATATTCCATGTCAGCACTGCGGTCGGTGCAAGCCGGATGCGGAATTCATATCGACTGGGATTCGAACCCGGTTCGCCTCATTGGACGGCGACAACTCCATCCCCTGAGCCATCGCGGAGAATCAACAACACGGTAAATTTTACCATTTTCCGGTAGTTTTGACTATAATTTTTTTCTCATTGTTATGTGACGCCAAAGTGTCGCAAATTTTATTTCATGGGAAGCAGCTCACATATTGATACTTAGCCAGTGATTTCTTTGCACATTTATGAAATACCAGTTTCATGAAGCGTAAACTTTTGCCATTTAAATGGTTTTAAAGGGAAAGAAATCCTTTTGAATATTGATGTTTACATCCGTTAAATATTTCTATTTTGAGAAATAGTTGCAAAGGAATTTTTG